AGCCCCCCCCCCACCCCCCCGCATACACAGAGAAGTCCCTGGGCAGTGCCCTGCTGCAAGAAGGTTACCCACAGAGCAGGGCTGAGGACACAGCGGGTGGGATGAGGTCTGTGAGCATCGTTGGGGAGAAGACATGGGGACAGGGATAACAGCCCCTGGCAGCAGAGACATGGGCGGGGAGGGAGAAGAAAATGCTCCCAGGAGCAGGAGCGGATGGTCCGGGCGATCAGCACGTGGTGAGCAATTGCATTGTGCATTGCTTGTTTTGTATATTCTCTTACTATTATTATTAATAATTATTGTTGTTGTTGTATTTCTTCTTCTTCTTCTTCTTCTTCTTCTTCTTGTATTTCTTCTTCTTCTTCTTCTTCTTCTTCTTCTTCTTCTTCTTCTTCTTCTTCTTCTTCTTCTATTTCTTTGCCTCTGCTGTTTTATTAAACCCTCTTTACCTCAACCCATGCATTTTACTTTTTTCCCGATTCTCTCCCCTATGCCACCAAGGGGAGGTGGGGGGAGGAGTAAGTGACCGGCTCTGTGGTGTTCAGCTGCCTGCCGGGTTACACCACAAATCTCTTCTCCAACCCAGTAGAGCCTCTGCTCTTAAGACCATAGGGACTCAGTCGTACTCCCAGCAGCCTGACCCCTTAAGAAGGGAAACTACCAAACTTCCCTGTCCAGCCTCCATGGGCAGTGGCACTGAGGCATTTCTCCTGCCCATGCTCTCCTTTTTCTTATCATGGACTCACTGGGATGAGAACAGGAGTTGGGCTGCAAGTTCTGAGACAAACCCTGTAGGTCTTGCCATACAGATGCGTCCAAAGGATTAAATTATCCATGTCCCCTCCTAATCTGGGGGCACTGGGCAATGCAGATGAGCCAACTGTCTCTTCAGGATACCCCGTCTTTCGACTAAATGCCTGGGATGGTTGTTTCTGGGGTGCAGACTGCATTCCACAAGGGCACTGCCCTCCCATGGCATCTTTGTGTTGTCTAGGAGCCCCATGGAGAAGACACCTTGGTGCGAAGGTCGTGGAAATGCCGCTCGATGTCTCTATGGAGGCAGCTGCCATGAGTCCTCTGTGTCCCGGGCTGGGAGAGGAGACCTGAGATCCTCCTCAGGTATGATGGGGTGAGGGATTTGGAGATCTGCACTTGGAAAGGGGATTGCTCTGCTCTCAGCAGTTCCTTCTCCTGGGAAGATCTGAGTTTGATTGTCCTCCAGCTCAAAGAGATGCCAGCAGAGGGCAGCTGAGACCAGGGCTGATGGACAGACCAGATCTGCTCACGCTGCACTGAGGGACAGTCCCGTTGCTTCTCAGGACCCACGAGGTTTCACTTGGAAAGCAGCAACTCTGCCAAGGATTTCTGCCTTAAAAACACATCTCGGGTGCAATGGGGCCACCAGAATAAAATTAAGCAAGACGAAATCCCCATGGCTCTGCTCTGCAATCAGGTGAATTGGGAGGGACAGCACTGAAAAGCTCCTTGATATAACGAATGGATTTCATCTGAAATCGCCCATGATCCTATTTACTTGTTGCTGTAGGGCAGGACTGGCTTCTCCAGAGCCCCCTGCTCCTGGGGGCATCCTCAGCCAGCACCAAACAGAGGTCAGGAAAGGGACCTGCCAAAGGGGCAAGGCAGTTTTGGGGCAGTTTCTATGAGAAATGGAGTCTGTTTTCCTTCCTGCCCTAGCTTGTCACTGCCTTTTCCTCCATGGATAGGTCCCAGAAGCAGCAAATGTCCAACAGCAGCTCCATCACCCAGTTCCTCCTCCTGGCATTCACAGACACGCGGGAGCGGCAGCTCTTGCACTTCTGGCTCTTCCTGGGCATCTACCTGGCTGCCCTCCTGGGCAACGGCCTCATCATCACCGCCATAGCCTTTGACCACCACCTCCACACCCCCATGTACTTCTTCCTCCTCAACCTTTCCATCCTTGACCTGGCCTCCATCTCCACCACTCTCCCCAAATCCATGGCCAATTCCCTCTGGAACACCAAGGCCATTTCCTTCTCAGACTGTGCTGCCCAGGTCTTTCTGTATCTCTTTTCAATGGGGGGAGAGTATTTTCTTCTCTCCGTCATGGCCTACGACCGCTACGTTGCCATCCTCCAACCCCTGCACTATGAGACCCTCCTGGGCAGCAAAGGTTGTGTCCGCATGGCCGTAGCTGCCTGGGGCAGTGGCTTTCTCACTGCTCTGCTGCACACAGCCAACACATTTTCACTCCCCCTCTGCAAGGGCAATGCTCTCAACCAGTTCTTCTGTGAGCTTCCCCAGATCCTCAAGCTCTCCTGCTCAGACTCGGGCTACCTCAGGGCAGTTGGGCTTGTCATGCTTACCGCTTTTTTTGCGCTCAGTTGTTTTGTGCTCATCGTGCTGTCCTATGTGCAGATCTTCAGGGCCGTGCTGAGGATCCCCTCTCAGCGGGGTCGGCACAAAGCCTTTGCCACGTGCCTCCCTCACCTGGCTGTGGTCTCCCTGTTTCTCAGCACAGGCATCTTTGCCGGCCTCAAGCCCCACTCCATCTCCTCCCCATCCCTGGATCTGGTGGTGACTGTTCTCTACTCGGTGGTGCCTCCAGTAGTGAACCCCCTCATCTATAGCATGAGGAACCAGGAGCTCAAGGACGCCATCAGGAAAGTGGTTTCCTGGATGTTTTTCAGTAATTCAAAAGTTCTCAGCACTCTCCAAAAATGATTCCATGGCGTCCCACTCCAGGCATGTACTTCCTTTGATTGTCAATTTCCATAGTATAATAGAATCACAAAAACTTTGGGGTTGGAAGGGACCTTTGGAGATCACCTCATCCAAACCTCCTGCTCAAGCAAGGCCACCTAGAGCCATCGTGCCAGGAACATGTTTGGTTGGCTTCTGAAGATCTCCAAAGAGGGAGACTCCACAGTCCCTCTGGGCAACCTGTGCCAATGCTCTGTTCCCCTCCCAGCATAAAAAGTGTTTCCTGATGTTGAGAGGGAACCGTCGTGTTTCAGTTTCTGCCCATTGTCCTCTCACTGGACACCACGCCAAAGAGCCTGGCTCCATCTTCTTTGCACCCTCTTTTCACATATTTATAAGATTCTTCTCTAAGAGTCTTCTCCAGACTAAACAGTCACATATGGGAGAGCCTCCAGTGCCTTCATCACCTTTCTGGCCCTTTGTACATCCATGTCTTTCATAAGAGCCCAGAACCAGACATGGTTCTCCAAGTGTGACCTCACCAGTGCTGAATAAAGGGAAAGGACCACCTCAATTTTATTATCACTATTGCTGTTGCCATCATTATTGTTGTTCTTCATTGACTCATAGAATGGTTTAGGCTGGAAGGGGCCTTTAAAGGTTATCTTTAGAGATAGGCTGGATCCATGGGCCCAGGCCAATTGGGTGAGGTTCAATAAGGCTAAGGGAGGGGTCCTGCCCTGGGGTCACCACAACCCCACGCAACCCTCCAGGCATGGGGAAGAGTGGCTGGAAAGCTGCCCGGCAGAAAAGGACTTGGGGGTGTTGGCCAACAGGCGGCTGAATATGAGCCAGCAGGGTGCCCAGGTGGCCAAGAGGGCCAGCGGCATCCTGGCTTGTATCAGGAGCGGTGTGGCCAGCAGGAGCAGGGCAGGGACCGTGCCCCTGTGCTGGGCACTGGGGGGGCTGCCCCTCGA